AGAAACACCAATATAAATAGTGTGAAAGATAAAACTTCAAGTATCAATATAATTCTGATTCCTCCGTGTCACAATCAAACTCATCCATATCACGATTAACTTCTTTGTATGCACTAATAGCATCTATTAATATTTTCCCTTCCTCAATAATATTAAGAGGAATATGAAAATTTAACACATTGTACTCTAAGAGTAGTTTCACAGTAGTTTGCATCTGAATAGTCGCTCTAGGCCTAATTTTGATGATCACAACTCACTTAAGTTTGCCTCTTGCTTTACCAATGTGTCTAATAGTATACCTAACATGTTAGACTCACTAGAATGAATAGATCAAATTGGCCATAATTTTTATTCATTTTAACTTCAGTTATGTCAAGATTTTATTATTCTTGTTCCTCTGTTATGAACATGATCAAATTAGTTGTAATTTAACATAAAGATATTGTATTCAATAGTGCCTGGGTAATACAAGTGCATTACTTCTTACAAAATCTTTCTGTCTCACTATCAGAATGGATATTTCCCTTAACCTATAAATCAGAATCATACATCTTCTTTTCCTTGGACCAAAAACTTGTGTAATCACAATATGATTAGGCTCCAAAGCGAGATCTATTATACCTTGATCCATAACTCCATTGCTCCTATTATGAACTTATTACAAAAATTAACATATTTGTGTACTTTGAGCATTTAACTTACCTACTATAGATTGTAGAGTTAATTGAACATATAATTTGAACCGTATTGAGAATTTTTCTTTAATTTTCTTACTGACACTATTCTCATCCTTAATATTTAAGGTGCTAACAAATAACCTGGTCACATAATTAAATTGAATTAATCATGTCAATATAATATTTTTAGTGCTAACTCCAACAACTATAAGTAATACACATCTTATTCAAGAAATGGTTAACCTTCATGGCAATTCAAAAGAACATTTAAAGTCAATGCTTGAAGCTCCTTATAATTGAGGTATCGAGAATTACATCCCACTAATGCTTCTGATTTACAAAATACAGAAATCAGAGGCTATGAAAACTTCTCAACTACAGTTTGGCCTAGAAGTGTAGGTGAGTTAAGCTGACTCGAATTCGACTCTTTAACATGCTCATGAGTCGAGCTTGTCAAGCCATGAGTCTGAATTTAATCTTATAACCGAGCTTGTTCAATATATGAGCTTGTGTTTGAGTTTGGCACAACTCAACTCCTTAGCTTGATGAGCAACTCGATTAAATTGCATAATCTGGCTACCCCTAATCACTAAGAGAGTCGCGTGGCCAAAACCCGGTCGTCCATTTTGCGTAGGAGTCCTGATGGAGGCAATTTTGAGGTTCTAATTTACACCTATATGCCATTGAAACCATGTGATTCTATTCCCAATTCCATAAGGCCATGACTCCCACTCCCGTTCCCCTTCACACAAGCAAGCCGAAAATGTATCATCACCTCCACTATAACAACTAGCACTCATTAACCATCAATCTAGCAGCACTCTACACTCCTATACTTTCGTCACACACCTCCAATCCTATCGGCGAACTAACAGTTGGCCTGAAAGTCATCATCTCTCAGCATTTCTGTTGGAGAAGTTCCAATGATTCTCCCTACAAGCACACTAAATATTCTCATCGACATTTGTCACTGTGTAGAAGGGCACCCTGCTCGAGGCATCTATTGCTTCAGGGTTATGCAAATTAGTCTCTTGTCTCTAATATCATACACTTTCTCTCATATTCTGCCACAAACCTGTCATCTCAATCCATAATCATTTTATTTTTGTGATTTTCAAAAGTTAACTTTACTCTTACATTCTTCATGTATAGTTCTTTCCATTTGCTTTATTTAAACCAAGATTATAATATGAGCTAAGCTCGAGCTCAAGCCTACATTTTTTTTATTGAGTCGAGCTAGAGCTAGAGCTCGAGTTCGACACTGTCATATATTAAATGAGCCGGGTTCCTTTAACCCCTAACTCAACTCATTTGCATTGCTAGTTTGGTCTATTGATTGTTGCTGCTTACAATAGTTTGAACAGAAAGTAGTTATCTCATGCAACAAGTATGCCTCACATATTGCGTCTTTAGGCCGTGCTTTTTTTTTTTTAATTTTTTTAATTTTATTAAAAATCTATAATATAAATAATTATTTAGTACAATATAATAATGCCTTCTTTGTATATTATTTAATGAGACATTTGAAAGACATGTCTCTCAAATAAAAGCATCCACTGGTATTGTAGTGGACCCGTAAGTATAGTCTTGTAAGATAGATGTATGAGTGGATGCTTGGTCGAGTTAAAAAAACAAAGAAAAGATATAAGCTTAAGTTTGTATGATATTACTGGAAGTGCTGTAAGTACTACAAAAAAAATGACTGTCTGATTTTTCTTGTCAAATATCTTTATTGCGCCCAAGTCGATACAATAGCACAAGTTGGATTCATACCAAGTCGGAAACATCAGAGACTATAGTCATTCATAAATTGTTCTTCGTTTCTCCAAAGTTAGACAATACTCAGCTTAATTTAGTCACCCATAACCGTCTCTTGAAGTTCTAGCTCCCTTCTCTTGCAATACTTTTTCAAGTCCAATTTTAATTTAACATTATCCTTAGTTTTGCCATTAACATTAAACAAAGTGTTGAAGATATTACCCAAGAAATTTTTCTCAATATGCATGATATCAAGATTATATCTAATCATATTGGTCATCTAGTACGACATATTTTAGAAAACACTCTGGTTTATTCAATTATAAACAATACTAAAATTAGAAAGATGATGTGAAGATAATTCTGGAGAATCAATAATTTTTGAAATTGTACTAATCATATGTCAAAAATCTCCCCTAATTATCCTTGACGAAGGCCTTGATTTTTCAACTCTCCTTTCTAAGAATGCATCTTTATTTGTTTTGAATGGATGATCAAATATAGGTAGGAATATTTGATGACAATTGAACAATAGATTTTTTTCATCATACTTTAAAGTAAATTTCACAGATAAGTCCATTGCATCAGCTTCATAATACAACAAGCAGCTATTAGTACAACAATTCATCTTCTCTTCCTAACTTCAACACCAATTTTTTTCATTCCATATAAGTCCCCTAGTATTTAAATTTTCATTGGGTTTTGCCTCCTTCAATAATCATGTAATTTGGTTAAAATATTCTCTAGGAATATTATAATTTGATTCAATATTAAACATCATAAGTGCCACAGTTAACTAAGAGTGTGTTGCGTAATTCTCTCATAATGGTCGTTGTGTGCAATCAATAATTCCTACAATTTCTAGCTTTAGTATCTGGTGGCTCATCCTCAGCCACTTGCTTAACAAGGTAAGCAGTGGCTGCATTAAATAACATTTCTTCAAATCTAGTCGGATTATATTCACTTGAAAATGCAGAGTTTGATGAAGAACCAACCTGGTCATATTCAAAATATGATTCGTACTCTCCATGTTTAGTCCAGTGATTAGGTTGAAATCCTCTATCATATAAATCTAATCTAATTGGATATTTGGTTTGTGTGCTTTGAATATAGGCATTGAAACTTACCATCTAAAAGATAAGTATGAAATTGTGATGCCACTAAACTAAAATATTTAACATTCTTTAAGAGCTCATTAGTGAGTTATTTTCTTCCTAAATGCATTCTATTGTATATCCATGATTTTTAATTTTGGATATCCATTGAATCCCTATAGATTTAAGAACAAAGACATTCAACACATCAAATAAATAAATAAATATATATATATATATATATA